AAGTCTCTATTTAAGCTAGGTAGGATGAGCAAGAGAAAGTTACCTTTTTAAATGATAATTACATCACTATTAGTCTTCTTTAAAGAATATTTCTAAAAATTGCCTAAGATCCTAGAATCAAACAAATTCCAGAACTTATAATCAATCTCACCCCAATGACTTAGACACTAAGCTAAAACATCTCCATTTTAAAAACTTTTTCCCTGAATAATGAGAATAATCCCTTTACAGGGGTTTTTGAAAGATAGTATTTTAATTCCACCAATAAATAATACTCATATTGTTAAATATAAAGTGAACATGATTTCACCATACAGCTTACTTCTGACATTCTGCTGAAAGTTTTAGTTCTTTGGTTCTAGAAAGGAAGACCTTAATTAGCGCACCAAGATTCCCTGTTCGAGGATTGTTTTCAACTGAAAGAGAAAAAAAGATTTTAAATAGTTAAAATTAAGAATTGAAATCAAAGAGAGCTTATCATAACATTTATAAAACCAAATGTCAAATTGAAAATATTCACTGACCAACCTTATTGCCAATTTCATACCCAATTAGAGAAATAAGCCATGAGAAAAACTGCTGCTCTTGGTCTTAATTCTGATCATCAAAAAATCATTTGCAAAATGAAAATGATAGAAACAGATCAAAATAAAGGTATAATAACTAAAGATCTATTCCATTTACATTCTCTCTCCTTTCTCTTTAGAAAAGTAGACATTTAATACAACTCAAGGCCAGGCCAGGTAGCTCACACCTGAAATCTCAACACTTTGCAAGTCCTTGGGCCAGGAGTTCCAGACTAGCCTGAGCAAAAGCAAGATTCCATTTCTACAAAAAAAAAATAGAAAAAATTAACTGGGTGTAATGGCGCGTGTCTGTAGTCCCCACCACTCAGGAGGATGAGGCAGGAGGATCACTTGAGTCCCAGAGTTTGAGGTTGCTGTGAGTTATGATGCCACTGCACTCTACCCAAGGCCATAGAGCAAGATTCTGTCTCAAAAAAAAAAAAGAAAGAAAGAAAGAAAAGAAAGATCGTGTATAGGAATAAGTTACACCATTACAACATACTGGCTTTGTGCTTAATAACTGTCAAGTTAACTCAGGTCTACCTGCTGGAAAGGTGTTCTTGTCACAGCATGAGAGTCTGCAAATAACTACTGAACTTTCTCATTAAAGTTGTAGTGTTTTGGTCTTCCAAGTATGGTTCACTGACTAGCAGCAAATGCATTATCTAAGAGGTTGTTGGAATCCCACACCCAACCTTCTTAAAGTTCAACGTACACTTAAATTATAAGATGTTCTTATTACAATACAAATTCAAATTTTAGTGTATAAAGTGTGAACTGAAATTCTGCAGCTCTAACCTGTCTCTCAGGTAATGCTCAGTGCTGTTGGTTACAAAACCCTACTGTGAGTAGCAAGGTGCTCCATCTGTTGTTAAGTTAGGGAGTTTTTGTCCACCTTTCATAATCCAAAATAAAGATCAGATATTAGATTTTGTTAGAGTTTCACTAGTCCTCTTTCAGGGTTTGGGTTTAATTAATGAAAGAATACTCTGAGATTTCAGAATAAACTGTTTAAAAAAAACAACAGTTAACATTTGCAAGTATACCTATAAGGGACTTGATATTATCTAGCTATTGTAAATCAAAATCAAATGTAGAAACAAACTAAGCTCAGGGTGATATGACTACAACCATCATTCAGAATCTCAACTTCAAAATCTTTGTTCATTCAACAGTCCCTTTATTATCAAATGACTTTACAAGTAATAGTCTAAATTTACAAATGGTTAATATATTTAAAAAACAAAACAAACAAAACAAAGCAACTCTACATTGTTAGAAAACCCTACCAGACTACTAGACTGAAGTGATTAAAGCTTTATGTACCTTTTCATTCATTCATTCATTCATTCATTCAGATAGCATGCATTTTCCCAGTGGCCCATGTGTGCCCATAGTTTCAGACACTGGGGAGAGACCTATGGACAGAACTCCCTGTCTTCATAGAGCTTACTATATACAAGGACAGTTTCTATACCACTCTTTTAGATAAGATAAAAATCGGAATAAATTAGAAAATTAAATATATGGGCCAGACGAGGTGGGTCATGCTTATACTACTAGCACTCTGGGAAGCCGAGGCAGGTGGACTGCTTGAGCTCAGGACTTCAAGACCAACCTGAGCAAGAGTAAGAGCCCACTCTCTACTAAAAACAGAAAAAAACGAAGGCAAGAGGATTGCTTAATCCCAAGAGTTTGAGGTTGCTGTGAGTTAGGACTCCACAGCACTCTACCAAGGTGAAACTCTGTCCCCCAACCCCCCTTAAAAAAAAAAGAAAATTAAATATACTCAATGATTTTAAATAAAATGGTAGACTCAAGATTCCAAAATATCTCAATGATGACAGCAAAGGAATTTAACAGGATCAACATTAAATGGTACAAATAAAGGGCTATGGGAAACTGAATAAGCTTCAGGAGTCAGAGCAGCAACAGAAGAGACAGATACAGCAACAGGAGAGAAAGAAAAGCAGAAAGTGTACCAGGAAGAGGCCACAGAATCTGGCAAGGTTCAAATACCAGCCTCACCAGGGACTCTGTATGACATTTGGCAATTTGCTTAACTTTCCCATGCCTCTGGTTCCTTATCTATAAAATTAAGATAACAATAGTGGTTAAGTAATAAAAAGCTAACTTATCTGACTCCAGAGCTTGAACTTGTAGCTGCTAAAGTAGCTTTCATGTAAGGAAGGAAATACCCTAGACTAATTCAAGCAAAGTCTGCATAGCACTCACACAAAGGTATCTTAAAGAGGATTTACATGTGGGATGAGAGAAAAAAACTGCTTCCAAGCCCCTGAAACAAACTTTGCCAATACTTCTCCAAAATACCCATGAGCCCTAAGATCCAATAACCAACATACAGAAAATGTAAAAAACCGAGGACTAGTTAACAATACATGGGGATTGCTGGTCCCATATACCAAGGGTGGCAGGTTCAATCCCGGCCCTGGCCAAACTGCAACAAAAAAACAGCCAGGCATTGTGGCGGGCGCCTATAGTCCCAGCTACTCAGGAGGCTGAGGCAAGAGAATCGCCTAAGCCCA